AAAAGGAAAAGGAAAAGGAAAAGGAACAGGAAAAGGAAAAGGAAAAGGGAAAGGGAAAGGAAAAGGAAAAGGAAAAGGAAAAGGAAAAGGAAAAGGAAAAGGAAAAGGAAAAGGAAAAGGAAAAGGAAAAGGAAAAGGAAAAGGAAAAGGAAAAGGAAAAGGAAAAAGGACTAACCTGCTCATTGAAAATCTAGGAAAAGTGTAGACAAAAAAAAAAAAAAAAAGTAATGTATACATTCTGCCAACACTAAATAATGAACGTGTCTGGTGACCATTTCGATGACGTACTTTAACATGCCATAGTTTCCTACCAAGAACTTACTTGAAAATTAAGCACATGCCTTTGACAGGAATGGATGGGATTATTCATGATGTTTAATGTTAAGGGCTGGATTGCACTGGGGCCATAAGCAGGGAGCACACTCCATAAATGCAAAGCTCCTTGTTGAACAGTCCTCTGCCACCAGGACTACAGGTACTGATCTCCTGGGGCAGCCAGCTCAAGTGCCCCAGCCCTGCACCAGATAAAGGGGTGTTCAAAAAGAGTTTGGCAAAAATTGCATGACGTTTGGAAGATTTCCAATCGCTGTTCTCAGTTACATGAGTAAGAACTGTTAAATACATGCAATCAGCACTGTATGGAGCAATTCTGGTGAAAAATGCAGTATCCTTTCCCTTGATTTAGGCAGGGGATTAATTAAAACCACATATGAATTTAAACTCCTGCTAGAACTCAAGTTGATCTAACCAAGTTGGCACTAAATTTGACCAATTCTCTAAATGTCAATATGAATTAGCATAGCATGTTGAGAGGGACGAGCTTAGTTCTTTCTTTGGCTGGGATATCTTGAGATCAGGGAAAGACCTTTAGCTTTTAAACAAAAGCAAAGTTTACCAGAATGTGTGGTCACATGAGGATAATATAGCAGGGAATGCAGGCTTCTCTACAGAAGTGGGAACTGTAAATGTCAGTTCAGTATACCAAGAAAGCAGCCAGCCTTATGAAACACAAGTTACTCTATGACGTCAAGTGGAGATTGGCTGTCTAGTGTAAATCCTGGATATTTATTCTATAGCTGTGTTTTTAAAACATGTAGCGAGGCAGATCTTTGCTTTACCATTAACTAACCATTAGCTGCAGTCTCAAATCCTCTGTATGACAGGAAAGGACGAAGCTTAAATTCATAGGCAAAATTGCTGCATAATCACTTCTCAGCCTTTAGAAATGAATAGTCTCACAGCTCACTATCAAATCAGTAATTTTTCTTTTTCTGAAGAGGAAAAAACACTGAGTGGCTATAAAGAAGGACTATTACTATCCTATTCTATTTTGAAAGAAACTCAAGTGTTCTGGAAATAAATCACAAATTGGTGTTCTCTGATGTAAGTATAAAATCACATTACCATGCATTTCTCAGTATTGGATACAGAAGAAGTGGTTTCAACCTTATAGAAGAGGCCTGCAAAGAATAATTTTAATGAGAATAATTTTAATGAGAATAATTTTAATGAGAATAATTTTAATGATTAAAATTTAATAATTTTAATTAAATAATTTTAATTTTAATTCAATATTTCTAGTTGCATTTCAGGACAAAAATATGTCATTCTCATGGAGACATTCCCTAAACATCTAGTTCCTTCAGTATTTTCTAATTACACATTTCATTTGTTTTATAAAACAGCTTATGGAAAATTGCTAATACAGAGAAGGGAGCATGGATTTCTAGTAAAGAATAAGGAAACATGAATTCTGTTCCTGGCTCTGCTAAAATTTTCCGGATGACCCTGAGCTATTTTCTTAACAATTGTGCACCCTCAGTTGAACACACTACCATGTCTTTTCTCTGCATACAGTCTCTGCTTGTCTCACTAAGTAGCAAGCCGCTTAGAGCGGGCCAACTCTCACTACACACTGTGTAGGTCCTATGACAACGGATATCTGATTTTAACTGTTACCAGATTCATTCAATGAATAACATCCAAAATAGAAATGAAAGCACCACAGAGGAGAAGAAAAAAACAGTGGCACAGGCAATGGGGGGAAATGTTATAAAGGGAAATAAAACTTCAGTCTTAGGGGCTTTGTGGGTGGAGGGGAAGGTAAGCTGAGCTGTAATATGAAGGTTGAGGATGGAATAAGGCTGTTGAAATGCATGTCCCAAGACAAGAAGTGCCCATCTTATTTTCTTCAGTTTTCCTCTTTCATTTACTGCTTTGGGAGATGCCCCTGGGCATGCGCGCCCCAACTCATACTGCCAAACACAAGCAAGATGAGAAAATGAAATAAAAAGCAGACAGCTCCCCGTAAATTTGAAGATTGCTAGGCTTGTGAATTTGCAAAGGCAGCACATGCCAGTGTATCTTCCAGTCGCTAACTATTGTAAGCTTAGGCACAAAATCACCACATTTTCACAGGGAATAATGCTAATCTGTAAAATTTGCCTGGAAATCACTCAGGGGTAACATTCATTTCATTACTTTATAATCAAATTCCTTCCTGAGGGTAAATTGAGTGCCTTTTTTATTCTATCACTACCCCTTCCTTCCCCCTGCCTATTACTGCTATGGAAAATCAGAGAGGAAAAAAAATCTGAGATAGCGTATCTTTAAAAGCTACGGCCAAGTCTAGAAAGCTTTGTTCCACAAATGGAAAATGTTTCTCTGAGTTAAATCATTTCAAGATTCTCTTTCTGTCACTTTCAGCTGCTTTTCCATCCTGGCATGTTTAGTCTGAGTTACCACGTGGGTGTTGGAGTGGTGGGTTCATATCATGTATTGCTACCTTTCTCACCTTCTGCCTTCACCTGACTCACAGGGGAACATGTCCTCTGGTAACATGTTACAGCCCAAGTTCCTCCTGACTCCAAAAGCCTCACTAATAATAAACATCAGTCTGATACTATATGTATATAAATATATATGCATAATATCTAAATATCTATAAAACTATATATACTCTGACACTATATATATAGTCTGATACTACATATAATAATAATAATAATATACATATAATGAGAATGAAGAAGATATTAAAAAAGGCTTGAAAAATTCCTCAGCCTTTACCATACATGGCTTTTCCATTGTATCTAAGCCCTCAAATCCTTCCATCTGACTTGAACAAAAAGATTTCCATGTCTATATACCATCTCCTTATAAATCAGACCAGGAAAAATAAACAGGGTGCAGCTTCCACTTGCTGCAGAGAAGAGCAGGAAAAGCAAGCGGCAAAAGGTGAAGATCTGCAGCAAAGCACAACTCCTTCTTCTTTCAGCTACTAAATGCCAGAGAGCTGTCTTCTCTTTTCCTTCTCCCTCTTTCCCTCCCAAATTACGCTTTCCTTTCCTGTCTCCCAGATCCTGGCTTCTGGATAAGAAGAGTTTTTTCCCCTCTGCAGTATAGGTAACAGTCACAGAGAGGAGGAGTGTAAGATCCTACTACAGTCTATGGGTAGAAAGATTTCTTAGGTAGCTTCTTGACATGTCTTCCTCATGCATTTATGATTAATTTGACAGACTGCTTTGGGATTAGGAAATATCTCCCTTCTCCCTCCATTCAGCCATAACTACTGTTTCTTTTTGCTGTCCTGTGCTTCAGACTAGGACAAGACACAGGCCACATACTCAAAGAAACATCTACTGATGAAGGGACATTGGCAACATACTCCTCTTATCTGTCCACAGCACTGTGCAATTGTACTTTCTGGTCATTTTTCATGGACCTGACATTATACAGGACTTTGACAAGTGGTTTGAGGCTTGTGTCCTGGGAGGCAGGTTTTCTGCCATAGCTGTTGGATGTTCTGGAAAGGGATCTCCAAGTCAGAAATCTTGGAGGTTGCTCTGCCTGTGAGCTGGCTGCCTGGGGTTGCAGGTAGGACTTGAAAACCGAGGTTGTTTCTGGAAGCCTCAACATCCCTGCACTGTTCCTATTACACTATGAACAGAGTGTGAGCTTCAGAAGATGGAGATTAGTTCTCATTAATAAGAGTGCTAAGGCGCCACTTTGCTTTTTACAAATTAACCTACAAATATGAAGTAGGTTATAAAGGGGGGATGTTGTCTGTCCCATTTTTCAAGCCCTGCTACATCTAGTCCCTTGCAGTGCAGATGGGTGAGGTGTTAGACATCACTTGATCATAGCCTACAGGAAGAGTCCTTACATTCCCTAGGCTCGGGGTGAGCCCCTTGCCATACTGCAAGACTTAACGTGGGTTCAAGTTGTGTGAGTCTTTCACTGATGACAGCAACCAAAATGACCAATACTACTGTGAACCATTTATTCTTAAATGGCAGGAGCACAGAAGAGTGTTTTAGGCTTTAACCTAAACCTTATGGTGGCCTACCTGGTCTCCTATATGATAAGTTTTAGGACTGGAGAAGTAATTTTTCCTTTGCATTCTCTTCTTTGTTTCTTCTCTCTCCCTGACACTCTTCATCTATTGTGCAGTCCTCCTACATACTCAATAAGTGTGCATTTATACAACACACAGTTCAGGGAAAATTTGTGGACTTGATTTAATATTTGCTTCATTCTCTGGATATTATCATAACACCATTTTCATGAATAAATAATGCAACAGCAATCTTTTTTTCCCTGGTTACTATAAATTAGCTGTTTCTGGATAGACAATGATCTCAAGAAAAAAAAAAAAAACAAAACAAAACAAAATAACCAACAGTAAGCGCTGCTGTGATTTCATCTGTTTCATTGCAGAAAATTTGCAGTGTCAAGTCAGAAATGCCCATCCCCAAAGGAAAAAAAATAATCTCAATATGGCAGAATGTAAGCATCCTGGATATACTTAAAACTTCCTCAAGTAGCCAATGAATTCCCTAGGTGTGGGACACTGTTCAGATGACATACATCATTAGATAATCAAGACCAGACATCTCTCTGTGAGCCTTTCTTTTTGTTTAACAAGACCACAGGAGTGGCTCTGTATAGGAACTATTAAGCAATTTACATGGCTCAGACAACCTGTTCACTCTTCACAGGTATTTCCATTTGATGAAGTCTGGTGACTTCTGTACTTGCCCAGTCTGCTATGGGACATGAGTCCCATCGCTCATGAGCAGCTTTACAAGCTCCAGTGCCCCTCCTCAACGAGTGACTGCAGAACCACAGAAGGTGAGAAGAGCTGATTAGAGAAGGTACCTATGAGCCCAAGCATCCACATGGCAACAAAAACGGAGGCACTGGGCTGCCTTCTTTCAGATGTGGGGAGGGGTACAACAGCCCTGTGGAGAAAAGCAATCCTATCTACTGGGAATGGGTGAAGGGCAAGAGTGGGAATGAACAGACAGTGAGAGTTGAAGATTAAACAGCTTCTGACACCAGTATGAAAAAGGAAGAAACTTGATGAGGCTTCTTCTTTCTATTGCTGCTTCTTCTTGCAGCTGATCAAGAACAACAACCTCACACCCAGACACAAGCACACTTTTTCTAAATTTGGCACTTATTTCCCTCAAAATTTTCATATACCAAAGCTGGAAAACAAGACTTACTGCTTTTTATCTTCTCTCTCCTAATTTTCTGCATGTCAATGCACCAGAATCATCCCAACAAAAACAGACAAGTCTCTCCCATGTTTTTTATTGGATAAGCAACTCAGAACCTCCTTTTGAAAAACTGCAGAATGCAAATAACTTTACCGTTTCCCCCAGTTTTTGACTAATGTTTATGGTGACTTAGCTTGCCTAAGTGCAAAAGCTGGTGACAGCATCTCATTATGGCCAAATGCCAGGGACTGTGAGGTGATAAAAGAACCAAATAACTTTGTCTGGGTATGTTGAGCTACAGGGCAGTCACATATAACAACATTACCACAACTCTGAGGAGTCCGGAATATTCTGCTATACCACACTGATCACCTGCCTTGATAAGGCAGGGGTTATTGCTGTGTTGCTACATGCAAATTAAAACTTTTTTTTTTTTTGTCATTTGGCAAAAGAGAAATTCTAATTAAGGCAGAATAAATGTACTAACTGAAAGGCAACTATCCCTCATATTTTCTCCTTCTTTCAGTCCTGGAATTCTGCACTGAAGCTGAGGATATTTTATGAAGGTTAAACAAAATATTTGGAGCAAAGTCTGCTTTTTATAAACCCTGTCTCTGTCTAACCTTTCACTCTCAATAACATGAAGAAAAATATACAGTACTGAATGTCTGGCGGCAGCTCCCAGCCACTGTGAGACAGTTATGCTGCTGCTCAAATCACATTAGCTGGAAGTTTGCAACAGTGAGATATTCTTGAATGTTTTGCCTCTGTTCCCATACAACAATGTTTGGTGTGAGATTTTTGCTTAAATCTCCCTTTGCACAAATCTTTCCCCATTATTTATCATGGCCACCCATTTTACAATGATGCATTATAAAGCTGTTGATGAACAGTTTCTGTACTTGCTATTCTCTCTTGATGGAAACCTTCTGAAACCGTTCCAAAGACCTCTTTGGTTTGCCTGCCAGATAAAGCCTCAGCCTGTCTTTGCCCTCCACTCCATATTTGTTTGTTAAATTTAGCTCTGTTTCTTGATTAGGTGCAAGTGACTGAACAAGCTTTTCCTGAACGATGTGCACTCACAAGCATGTGCTTGCTGCAAGATAAAACAAGCTATTGGATGATTATCATCCCCTTAGTGGGCAAAAAAATGTATAAATCAATGAAATGAAGTGAAAACAACTCCAAAGGTAATAAATACAATTAAGTCATTCTCTGAGGCTTGATATGGTGATGGACAATTTTTTTTTTCTTTTTTTTTTTAAGATTCTTAAAGACTGTGACTACAGTGAATCCTTTTCAAAGAGTAGTTTGAAAGTAGATAGATAAACATAGCTCAAGTTGGAAAATCAACACTCTGGTTCTGCTATGGACCCATCAAAGCACTTGAGTTGGTGTTCTACTTTAAGCTGCTGCTGAACCAGGGCACTGATAGTGCTTTTCTTTTAGTTTCAGGAAGGACAGCTGTGTTTATTTATTTTTCTCCTTAATATGGAGGAAAAGTGCCTGGAACACTGGGTTAGATGTGTTTTTTAAACTCCTGTATAATTCTAAATAATAAGCTAAACAAGAATAAATTATTTTGGCGGAAGTATTTCCCTCCTTTAATTTAACAATCCGATGAGCCATGCTTTCTTGCTCTCCATTGCTCTCTGTGTGCTGTGTTGAAACCTATACTTCTTAACCACTCAATAAAAGCAAAATGCTTATATGAAGTCTCCATTAACGTTTATAATGCCCTTGACTATCAATTTCCTAGCCTTTCAGTGCTTGGTTTTGACAAAAGCTGACACTACACAGAAATATGAAAGTAATGGTCCTGGCTCCATCTCCACTCACAACCACAGCCTGAAAAGGGAAGCCAGGATCCATCCTCCTTGAGCCCACAGAATAAAATTTCCATGCTAAGACTACTGCTAGATCCTGCAACCAAGGCACTGCTTATGCTTACCTACTCACTGGTCTGCTGGATGCTGTCCCTCAGTGGAAGCCAGTGAAGCCTGCTCAGCTACCAGGACCTAGAACACCATAAGTCTAAGACTTCTTATGGTCCAAAGGCTGATGGATCCAAGGAAAATACCTCTGATGGCCTTCCCCTTGCTTCCTCCTCCTCCCAGTCCAGGAAATGCTCCTCTACAGCTGGGGATTGTGCTGTGATACTGAGATGTCTGGGCTATGTTCCATTTATGATTGGACTTGATGATCTTAAAGCTCTTTTCCAATGTAATCATTCTATGATACTATGATTAGTACTGCCAACATCCTCAACCATTCTTACCCATCACTTAGCTGCTTAGAAACACATTTCTCACCCATTTTAAAATCAGAAGCATTCAGGTCAGTGATTAAAGAAATATATTATGAGCATGTTTGAATTTTAATCACATATTTTTTTTGTGACTAGAAGATAACTTTCAGGTTTCCTATGTATGCATGTTTAAGAGCAATTTAAATAAATTAACTAGACTAGTATAACGTTAAGAAGAATCAGGTTATCAGTTTGCTTTCTACTGGTCAAAAAAAATAATCCTCCAGAGCTAAATTTTCTAAGACAGGATAAGGGTCTCTAGATGTGGTTCAACAGTAGTAGATAGTTAGATTACATACATACTAAAAGAAAATAGAATGCACCAACATTTAAAGTGCTTATGTCAAAGTCATTCTTGCTGTCCAGATTCACCATGGACTGATATTAAGCACAGAAATTATTGCTTGGTAGTGCTGAAGGCATCCAGTTTACTCCAGCTAAAGGACTGGCCTCAAAGCACTATTCATTCACTCACCACATTTTAAGAGAGGGTTCACTGATATTCATCAAAATGAAGAATACCTGCACCAAGGTGAAAAATAAGTTGGATCTCACGCCCACAGACAAGCACTCCAGCATCCTCCATACCTCTGTGCATACAGAAAGCTCACGGAAGGATATGGTGTAGATCCCATTCTTAATTTTAGCCATTTAACTGTATCTTGAGCTCTCAGGGAGGCTACCTCAGGTACCTTGATACTAGCCACAGAAATACATCATTACCATGGTTCAGTTGCCAGCAAATTTGGTAAAGGCAGAGGAATTTCAAGCAGGAAGCCCTTAATGCAAGGCTGTTTCTGGATCCCCCCTGACGTTAATGGCGACCTTGGTAATCCAAGCAAAATTAAGCAGTGGCAGATCAAAGTCCTGCTGCTGTCTCCACTCCCTGAGCTCACCACTCAGATGTGAAGCTACTCTCAAATAAAAGCCAGATGTTGAGCCGGCTCCATTTCCTGATTAGCTGAGATGTCACTTTGGAAGCCAATTGCTCTGGTCCCAGTCCTGAAATTGAACCAACCTTTCCACTGGAACATCAAGGCAAATAAAATAAAAGGTGCAAAACTTGTGTCAGTGGTGATGAGGACAGATCATCTCTTAGAAAGTGGTCTTCTCACAGAGATGGGGCAAAATTACTGCAGGGAAAGTAGGTGGTTGTTTCTGTACCACATTACATCATCCTTTTTAAATCAGGCAATCTGCAGAGCAGACACAAGCAATGCTAGTAACACTAAACACCAACAGATAATAAAATACCCATAATAAAATACATTGCTTCTGGTTGGAGGCAAATGGGTCAAAGGCAGCCTTGATCCTAATCCTGCCAAGGCTGATTTACCTGTTGTTTCCTCCGAGGACTAAGAACTTGAACAAAGTTGACCAAACTTGGGGGAAAAAAAAAAAAATCAAGAAAAATCATGAGGTTTTTTTAAAGCTATCCTTTTGAAGACATGTTTTTGAAAATCTAGTTTTCTTTAAATTTACAATGTTTTGACTGTTGTTAAGATTTGTCTGTTTGCAATTCTTGTCCAGAAAGACTAGAAGTTCTTTTTCTCTCTCAAAGTTTGAATTTTCCAGCAAAAAAGCCCATACAAGTTTAAGGCATGGAAATTTTGTCGTGATTTTGGCAAAAGTACCTTGCATTCCTGTACAAGTTAGTGTGTGAATATTATGGAAGCTAGCTCTCTTGAGTTATAACCCTGTGCCTCTTGAAAAAAAGCACCAAAACAAAACTGTGATAAAATATGTTCAAATCAATTTTGTCATCTAATCTGATGCTTCCCCATCACAGCTTTACACAGGCAAAACTCCTCCAGTTCTTTTGCAGTCAGTTGGTTTAAGCTATGGAAAATATGTGTTGCCAGACCAAGTACTTGATTTTAACACAGTCCTGCTAACACACACTCCTTAAACTGAGTTGGTGAGAGCTCAGCCCCATGCATCCACTTTACTTTTTGTCCAAGAAACATGTGCTGTGAAAATTTTTAAAATTCAGGATCTGACTTAATTTTCCAAAACATGCAAACATTGTTTTGGATATGCATCAATAGATGTGGGCAGCAGTCTTAATTTATCTTGTCTTGAAGCAAAAGTACCCCTGAAAAATGATTTTATGTGGGCTAAGACCCAGCCCTTGTATTTCAGCATTATTTTCTTTGCTTGCATTGGACTTTCAGCAGACTGAATGGGTGTGCTTTTTATCAGAGTAAATGTACATTTCACAGTTTGTTTATTCCTTGTCCATAGTCCGTCCTCCTTTACAAGATCCTACTGTAAAGTCTTAATT